TTTAAGTTTACGCCCTAATTCATTTGATTTCTATAAACCTTACACTAGTCTGAGATGTATCCGGTTTGACATATCTTGATTTCCTCTCTTTGTAGAGTAAACTTCATTCCAGACAAAACTTGACAGCTCCAAGGTCCGCAACTTCAAAAATGTTAAACATTTTGCCCGAATTTTGTGATTTCGTATTTATCTTGTGAGGCAACGAGAATATAGTCTACGTAAATGGCAATTAAGAGCAAGTTCTTTCCAAAACCTTTGAAATACACGCACGGATTCGCAACTGCTTTGTCATTCCAACTGTTGCCATCGATACTCTCAATCGACGGGAAATCGGATAAAGGAATCACAATCCGGATAGGCTTTATAACTATAAGACTTTTAATGCAAAAAACTGATACAGTGGTTAAACTATCTTTCTTGCCGAACCTTCTAGACGAGTCTATACATATATATATATGCAAGAGTTCGTACTTATGCCACGAGAGTAGTCGTCGCGGCGGCAGCGCTCTTTTAGAGAGGGCGCAACTCGAACATCCTCCCACCTCAAGTTGCTTGTTCGGTCCACTAAGCAACTTGAAATTAAAATCCTAGTCGCTCCGGTTTTTTGATCGTGCGTCCACTTCTTGTCTTTAGCTCGGGAACTGTCTTCTCTTCAGGAACTGGTACAGGTTCCGGGTGTTCTCTAACCTCGGCAAGCGGCAGATCCAAATAAAAGTTTCTCCGAATTCTCTTTAGAAAACTCCATTTCTAGAGGTATTAATTTTTGGATGGGTCGAGTCAGTTCTCCGTCGGCAGTCTTCAATCTCACGACTCGTATCTGTCCATCTTTTCCAGGGTAACATTCTTTAATTCCCGCCATGGGCCAATTGAGTCGCTTCTGCAAATCGTTAGCGACAAGAACAACGTCGCCTACTGAAAAGGAAGTTGCCGTGTGCTTGTTCTTGTTTCGTTGAGACAACTGTCCTAAGTACTGGATGCGAAACTGCTTCCGCAACTCTTCTTTCAGTCTCTGTCGATAACGCAAACTCTTCGACAGATGAGACTTGCTTATCTGGTCCATGTCAGGTACTCCGTCCTCCTGAATATCTCGGAGGAATATAGCAGGTGTGATCGCAGCGGTTCCACTCGCTTCCTCGGTCATATATGTGAGTGGTCTTGAATTGATGACTGCTTCGCAATCACACAAAATTGTATTCATTTCTTCGTAATTGACTGAAGTTCTTCCAAGTATTCTCTTCAAGAGGTCCTTCAGAATGCGTATAAGACGCTCCCACCAACCTCCCCACCATGCGGCTGACGGTGGATTAAAATACCACTCCACTTCATTTGTCGCACAATACCGCGAAATCTTCTTCCAGTTGACTTGTCGCAGTAGATTTGACATTCCGACAAAATTCTTTCCATTGTCGCTATAAATGACGGTAGGTCTTCCTCGCCGGGCTATAAATCTTCTTAAGGCCTCCAAGAATCCCTCTGTAGACAAGGTCGAGACGAGTTCCAGGTGAACTGCTCGGTAGATTGCACAGGTAAACAGGCAAATATACGCTTTGTGTCCCTTGGATAAGAAGAGCGGTCCGGCATAATCTACACCTGTTACCTCGAATGTAGCGGCGTCTCTAACTCTACCCAGATAACAATCCACGGAACTAGTATGGTGAGCGTAGTCGTACTAAACGTATCAGTACCGTAGCTACCACGTACGTGCGTACTGTAGGCATACGTTATTAGTACACCGTATTGGTACGCGGTACGACTACCGTAGCGCCACTGTGTGGTTGATGTAGAGTTATTATTGTGCGCTGTACTTTCACAGTACCAGTAGAATACTAGAACAAGATTGCATTTTCGTTTAATTAAAATTACCTGATCAGGTTTTCCTTATCAAGACCTCATGACTTTGTGTTAAATTACGTAGTCATCAAAAGTATATTCAGGTTATTGAAGTTTATCCATGATCCAGACTTACTGTCGCATCATATCGGCTCGCCTCTTATACTAATACGGCATGATTTTTACATACGAGAAAGACTAACGCGCGGTCGCCACGTCGCGGCAGTATGTGGTACTAGTGCTATCTTTCAGGTTAAATATTACCGCGTCTTGCGTGTAGAAGGCAAGGTTTGCAGTATCCTTGCCACACATTTGCTGTCATGTCGTGTATATCAAGGCTTTCCTCATTTTTGCCACAAATTTGCTGTCATGCCGTGTATATCAAGGCTTGTCATGTTATTTGCAAAAAAACAAACTTTATCTTAACATTACGT